CACATTTTCTTTTTTCCTACCATTACCATAAGTTATTCAATATTTCAAAGGATACTTGTTAACAGTGAAAAGGATAAAATAGAAAGATTATTGTTCAATCAACTTTAGGTCCAACAACTGAGCATAAAACCTATACTTCCACAAAGAAATAGGTGTCTCTCACTTTCCAGTCGATACTTCTGTTCTGATTGTTTTCTCTCGCTTAGGACATAACAAGGCAAATATGTATTCTATATATTTTATAACATTCCAGTATTAATATTTTACTGCCAGTGATCACTGACTGCTTTTGTATAAAACTATTGTGGTTCATTCCAGGGGGCCGCGTTCTTTTTTATCCCCAACAAACAAGAATCGCCCATTAATCACGCTCACGAGATGTGACTAAGTTTTATGGGCAAAATATAGTGTGTTGACTCCAGTCTGAGTTATTTGTGATTCTACATCTTCGGAAGTCCTCGCTGAGGATAAAAACACTCAGCTGATCGGCTGTTTCTAGTTTAGGGTGAGAAACAATTAGACAGTGTTTGGACAGAAGAGACGTGGCGAATGTTGGGTTATGGCATATTGAGCCTCATTTTGGCCTCAAAAAAGATAGCTTGCTAAGGTGTCATCACAGCATGGCTCACGTTGTGGTTCCCTGGCCGCCACTGTAAACTGACTTGTAATTTTGACATTCGCTCCATAAACCGTTTTAATTCCTTATTTTGCTGTTTCAAGCTGAAACCACCATTGAGCAGATCCATCTTTGATAAAAGGCTTGGAAATCTCACAAAAACTCGGTGCATGTTCAAGATCATATAAACTGAATTCGCTTTCAGTGACCCAGTCATGAGACAGGTGCTGCTGGAGGTTAATCAGGTGAAGGGTCAGCTGTAGACCCAGGTGATGACTCAGGACGTGAATCCCGGGAACCCACGAAGCCCAGGCCCGATGTCCTCATGGGGAGTCCTTGGCTCTCTCTCATCTCATCATCGTGAAACTAAGAGATCTTCAATTTTAAGATATTCTTTTAACATTCAGAAGGCCTGGAACTTGGTGTATGGTTCTAGAAAGCTGTGGTACATGTACACAGTGGAGTACTATGCAGCTGTAAGAGAGAAAGATCTCTTACCCTTTGAGACGACCTGGAGGGACCTGGAGAGTATTATGCTGAGCCAAATAAGCCAGTCAGAAAAAGACAAATACCACATGATCTCACTTGTTTGTGGAACATCATGAACAAAATAAGCTGTTGACCAAAATAGATCCAGAGACACAGAAGTAGGGGACAGACTGACAAACCTCAGAGGGAAGGGGGTAGGGAGACCCGGAGAGATAAACCAAAGAACTCAGATCATATATGCACAACCCATGGACACAGACAACAGTGTGGGGAAGGCAGGGGGTGGCGGTGGGGAGAAAGGGGTCAATGGGGGAAAAGGAGGGACATCTGTAATACTTTCACAACAAAGATACATGTAAAAACCAGTCACAATTGAGGTCAGCAATGCCTTCTTCCTCGAGCAAGTGTCCACATGTGTGTTGTACTAACTCCTCTCGACATCTTATCTGCAAAAACGGGCGAGCTGATGCCTGCTCTGCTTATTCTGTGAGGCGCTGGGTGAAGATTAAATGAAAAAGTTGTGAAAGTACTTTGATCTCGCACCTGTCGGAAAGCCATTAGTACATTATTGCAGGGGAGGAGGAGGAGTGAACAGCACCGGAGCAGACTTGGCAGTCCTTGAAGCTCTTGGGGAGGCCGCTTCCCACCCGGTGAGGTCACAGCTGCGGGAGGTGTGGGCGACAGGGAGCAGAGGCAAAGTGTTCAGACCAGGGCTGTGCCACATCTCCCAGGGGGCAATTCTTCCACCTGGCCCAGGGCCGGATAAACCTGGAGCCCACAGGGCCAGAAATACATGCTGCCCGAGACACCTGCACACCCACGTCCTGTGTCAGGTCACCTGGAGCACATGCCCCTCCTGTGTCAGGTCACCTGGAGTACACACACCTCGTGTGACAGGTCACCCGTAGTACACACAGCCTGTGTGTCAGGTCACCTGGAGCACACACACCTTGTGTGACAGGTCACCTGCAGTACACACACCTCGTGTGACAGGTCACCCGTAGTACACACAGCCTGTGTGTCAGGTCACCTGGAGCACACACACCTCATGTGACAGGTCACCTGCAGTACACACACCTCGTGTGACAGGTCACCCGTAGTACACACAGCCTGTGTGTCAGGTCACCTGGAGCACACACACCTTGTGTGTCAGGTCACCTGCAGTACATACATCCTGTGTCAGGTCACCCGTAGTACACACAGCCTGTGTGTCAGGTCACCTGGAGTACACACAGCCTGTGTGTCAGGTCACCTGCAGTACATACATCCTGTGTGACAGGTCACCCGTAGTACACACAGCCTGTGTGTCAGGTCACCTGCAGTACATACATCCTGTGTCAGGTCACCTGGAGTACACACACCTCCTGTGACAAGTCACCTGCCGCACACATACACACACCTCCTGTGACAGGTCCTGCCTCTGGAGGACACTCTCAGAATGTCAGCAGTGAGTGAACCTGTGGCCAGTATACTGTTTTTCATGAATGGAGACGTTGGAGCGAAGGGATCGGTCTGGCCCCTTCCTGAGCTTCCCTTTTGAAAGAAGAGTCAGCAGAAGGAGGTTTGCTCGGGATCTCTGCCCGCTGACCTCTGCGTCGAAGAACTCCAGCTGGGACACTCCGCGGGAAGAACTCCAGCTGGGACACTCCGCGGGAAGAACTCCGGCTGGGATACTCCGCGGGAAGGACTCCCGCTGGGACACTCCGTGGCATTTACCACTGACGTGTGTGCCGTGTCCCCCAAATGCCTTCTCCGCTGACTCTCTTTCCTTCTTAGTGTGCTGGGGCCCGTCCGTGCGACCCGCACTGTTCCTCGTTACATCGTCCCACCTCAGCAGGCAAAGTCAGGCTCCAAGCCCATTACCGTTCGGCGGTGGGGCGCCTGCAGTTCTCCCACCAAACACCGGCCAGTGGACAGGCTCTTTAGAAAATGCTGCAGAGTCGCCGAAGCCAGCTCTCCTGCTGGGAGTGACTGAACGCAGCATCTTCGCTTTAGGAGGGACCTTACCTACGTTTGTCCAACATCATATCCAATACAGGCATCTCCAAGATTGTTCCTTTGGTTCACCAGTAATATTAGCTGTCTACAGACTTTGTCTATAGACTTAGGTCCTCCTCTTTCCTTTTTGTGGCATTTTTCATTTAAATTAATTTTTTGTTGTTACAGATGTTTCTCCTTTTCCCCTCATGGACACCCTCCTCCCGATCCCTCCCCCTCGGCATTGCTGTCTGTGTCCATTGGTTGTGCACACATGCATATAAGTTCTTTGGTTCATCTCATCCCTCCCCCCGCCCCTCTTCTCTGAGGTCTGTCAGTCTGAACCCTACTCCTTTCTATGTCTCTGGGTCTATTTTATTCATCAGCTTATTTTGTTCATTACATTCCACAAATAAGTGAGATCATGTGGCATTTGTCTTTCTCTGACTGGCTTTTCTCTTAGCACAATACTCTCCAGGACCCTCCATGTCATCTCAAAGGATAAGATATCTTCCTTTCTTACAGCTGCATAGTACTCCATTGTGTACATGTACCACAGCCTTTTTATCCACTCGTCTCCTGATGGACACTTGGGCTGTTTCCAGATATTGGCTATTTTAAATAGCTCTGCTATGAACATGGGGGTGTATATATTCTTCCTGATTGGTGTTTCAGGCTTCTTCGGACATACTCCTAGAAGTGGGATCCCGGGTCAAATGGTAGCTCAATGAAAGTGGGATTAACAAGTACATCTTAGAGGCTGTGTTGGTATTATTTTAACAAACAAAATAAAGAGATCATTTTTTAAAAAGAGAGAGAGAGAGACCTTAAAGGACCATGAACAGATTAGCGGGTGTGGTCAGACATCGCCTGAGTGGGATGGTGCAGAGCAGGCTCGTAGGAGCCCAGGGAAAGGTGTCCTGGTGGCTGTGAGGAGGAGGCAGGAAGAAGTTGTCACTGAAATCAGCAAACAGAAGCCTGGGGTGCGGTGATGTTGTCACCGTTAACATGTTGCCCGGTTGTTCGCAGGAGGTTTTGAGAGAGAGCTACAGCGAGAATGTAAACAGGTCACACATGGTGACTGGAGAAGGTGAAGAGAGTAAGAAACTGGCCAGCATGCGTGAAAACAGACCGGGGGTCCGTTGTGTGCAGTTTAAGGGGGACTCTGAATAGAACCGATTATGGAGGAGGGGTCGCAGATTTGCAGTGAAACCTGAACAGCTGCTCTGATGAGCCTGCTTTTGAGATGGATTTTGTGCCCACAGTTTCTGAAATTAATCATTCCGTGTTTGGCAACCAAAAGTCTCTGAAGCTGGTATGTAAAGGCAAAAATATTAGAGGTTATCATGATAAAAATGCTGGAAATCAACATGTGCCTCTTTCTAAAAAAAAAAATTAGATGTTTTTACAGATTCTACAATTTTCAGTCCTCACCCTGACAAATAAGTTTGCTTTTTGATAAATGGAAACTTAACATCTGTAGCTGAACAGCTATCTGTGAATTTATTTGGAGAGGAGTCTTCTATTCGGGAGATAAGGGAGCAGAGGAAATGATTAATTATAAAAAGAACGCCGTGAAGTGTTTATGGGCTGACATACCTGGGAGTGAGCGCTCGCTTTGGAGTCTGGCATGCACAAATACTGAAACGTGGGCCGTTTCTTTCCACAAAGCAAAGCAACACGCTCAAGGGTTCCTAAGGAGGAAGCTCAGCTCAGCTATTTTAATGAGAACGAGGCCTGTGTGTGTCAGGAGACAGGGCTCAGTGAGTTATAATTGCAGAGAATATGTGGACACAGTGGAACGAGGGACACGTGACTGACCACATGCTGAGCTCAGGGTATATAAGCCTCCCTCTCCACTCGCTGACATTCACTCTCAGGATCTCATCTTGAACAGCACGCAGCTCCCCCCGACACCATGAGCTACTACGGCGGCTACTACGGAGGCCTGGGCTGGGGCTGGGGCGGCTGCGGGGGCCTGGGCTGGGGCTCCGGCTGGGGCGGCTGCAGATATGGCTGCTGGCGTCCCTGCTGCTGCGGCCGGTACTGGTCCTCCGGCTTCTACTGAATCAGCACCTGGAGCCCAGCTTCCGAGGCCACAGAAGGATGATCCAATCATGACAACGATGCCCAGCCAGGAGCAAGCCAAGATCAAAGAATTTAGTGCACAAGATTTTAAGAATGTTTATCATTTCACAATTGTCTGCTTTATGTCCTCTGTTGTCCCTTATTTGTGTTTTCACAGCTGTGGGATTCTCTGTTCTTTGTGCAATAAATCATCATAAGCTAAGACAGTGTTCACGGCTTCTACTCTTCTACTTAACTCCAAATATCAAGTGATTATCTGTGTCTGCACCAAGAGACAATGAAGAATGAAGAAAATAAAGTGCCCTCTGAAAAACTAAAGCAATAGGGTATATGTGCAGAACACAAGTCACACCCACACACACTCACAGTCACACTCACAGTCACACTCACACACAGTCACACTCACACACTCACGCACAGCCACACACACACTCGCACACCCACACTCACCCACAGTCACACTCACACAGCCACACACACACTAGCACACACTCACATTGTCACACAGTTACACACACTCACAGTCACGCATGTAGTCACACTCAGTCACACTTACACTTGTACACACACTCAGTCACACAGTCACACCCACACAGCTACACACCTACACCCACAAGCCACACATGCACAGTCACACTCACCTGCACACACACTCACAGTTACATCCACCACACACACACTCACACACACTTGAGTGCACACACACTCACAGGTACACCCACCCATACTCACACAGTCACACACACTTGAGTGCACACACACTCACACAGTCACACATGCAGTCACACTCACACACCTGCATTTACACATGCACATTCACTTGCACACACGCTCACATTCACAGTCACACATGCAGTCACGCTCACACACCTGCATACAGTCACAGTCACACTCACACAATTGCACACTCACACACTTGTGCACACACTCACAGTTACACTCACACACAGTCACACACACTTGAGTGCACACACACTCACACAGTCACACATGCAGTTACACTCACATTCATACAGTCACACATGCACAGTCACACTAACACACTTGCACACACACACTCATGAGCAGACAGGTACTTGTGAGCCACACTACTTCATTGAAATTAAGTTTTTTCTTTTAAACACTAGACCAGATCTTATTCGATGTTTTTAGTTAGATAATGTTAATATTTAAATTCAGCACTGAAATATCAGTTCTATGTAGTTTCATATCTAATGTGAGGCCAACATGAAGAGTAAGAACTTTTCTGTTTTGTTAAACATTGATTTTTATTTAAGATAAGATAAAGAGCTCTGGTCAGTTGCTCAGTGGTTAGAGCGTCGGGCCATGGATCAGAGAGTCCCAGGTTCGGTTCCCGCTAAGGGCACGTACCTCGGCTGCAGTTTGTCCCCGGCCCCGGTTGGGGTTGTGTGGGTGGTGACCACTCAATGTGTCTCTCTCACATGGATGTTTCTCTCTCTCTCTCTTCCTCCTTCTCTCCCTCTCCCTCTATATCTCAAGATAAGGTGCAAAAATGTCCTCGGGTGAGGATAAAAAACAAAAAGGAAAAGTGACAGAGTAGAATGTCTCTAAACACACTGGAGAAGGACTTCTCTGTGCGGGCCTGTACCCGGCTCCTCTCGCGGCTGCCGCGCCGGGACGTGGCCCTGCTCCCTGAGTGAGCACACACTGAACACTGCAAGTCACCGGCCACGGGAAGGCACGGCTCATGAATACTGCACGAGCCGGTAGCTGCCTGTGCGGTCAGTCGTCACGGTGGATTGGCCACCTCTATTTGCTTTGATTTTTAAATATTCTGATGCAGAATCTCGACTTATCCTTTTCTAATGTGGCTGTATCTTTGTAAAAATAACTAATATGCTAATAAAACAGACCCGGAGACATAGAAGTAGGGATCAGATGGGCAAACCTCAGAGGAAGGGGTGGGGGAGAGAAGAGATGGCCTGAAGAACTTACATGCACGGATGCACCACCAGTGGACACAGACAAGGGTGCTTTGAACGGGAGCAGGAAGGAGAGTGTCCACGGGGGAAAAGGAGAAACATCTGCCACAAAAATAAATAAATTAATTCATTAATAATAATCCAAAAACGAGTAAATAGTGCTAAACTCAGACTGTATGAAAAGTCACTGTAATGCCCAGGAAAGCCTCGGACTAGTTTGCTGAACACGGGGATGGACTTGCTCAGCAGGATGTTCGACCTCTGGGTCAGCCTAGGGGAGGGCCGGAGCCCTGCAGTGTGCTCAGCGCGGTGGTCCAGGGCCCCCGCTGGATGGCTGCAGATGTCCTTTGCCTGCTAACAACTTTGCACGAGACTATTTACTCCCGACCTGGATAGTGGCATCACAGTGTGAAGAAAGACTGTATGTATCTAAAGAAAAATAAATGCAGCCCTGGCTGGTGTGGCTCAGTGGCTAGAGTGTTGGCCAGCACATGGAAGGGTCACTAGTTTGGTTCTTGGTCAAAGGCATGTACCTGGGTTGCAGGTTTGATCCTGGCCCCAGCCCCAGTTGGGGTGCGTAGGAAAGGCGACCAATCAGTGTTTCTCTCTCTCTCTCCCCCCCCCCTCCGTCTCTTCCACTCTCTCTAAAATAATCAACGGAAAAATATCCTCGGGTGAGGATCAATAACAGCAACAAAACCGATATAACTATTTGGAGAAACTATTTAGCACTCTTAGCATATTTGGTTATATCCTATGGTTATACCTGTTACTGAGATCGTATTGACTTGGTGGGAGTTGAGAGCTCAGAACACATTTGTGGGGGGAGAAGCGACCCCCCGGCCCGGAGGTGTGTGGCGGGCTCACCAGACCACGCAGAGGCGGGTCTGACAGTCACCGGTGGCAGCATCGAACCGGCCCGGGGACGGCGGTTCTAGGCCCCCTGTGGGCTCCACTGGAACGAAACATCGGAATTAACAACTGTCTTAATTGCGGGTGAGCGGTGGCGGTGACGCAAGCTCCGGGGACTGGGGACCAGGCATCCAGAGCAGGACTGGAGGCAACCAGCCACTGTCACTTAGGACAAAGCATCCAATGTGAAATTAAAAAATTAATAAGTTGGACCTTATTATGTTAATAATTTTCTGTTCATATAAAGACAGACACCATTTAAAAGTAAAAACCACATACAGAAAGGAAATATTTTCAAAACATATATCAGAAAAAATTCCTGTACCCTAGAGTATAAAGAGCTCCTACCCCTCCCTCTCTATCTAAACATCAATAACACATATTTCAAAAAATTTCCTAGCACATGTGGCCCAGTGGATGGAGCGCCGTCCCAGGGACTGAGAGGTCCCGGTTCAATTCCCAGTCAGGGCACAGGCCCGGGTTGTGGGCTCGATCCCCAGTAGGGGGCGTGCAGGAGGCAGCCGATCTATGTTTCTATCTCTCCCTTCCTCTCTCTCTAAAAACATCAATGAAAACATTTTTTTTTTAAACGAAAAAAGAGCTCCTAAAAATAAATATTAAAGTTTTAAAAAGAAGCGGGAAGGAGGGGCAGGAAGAGATTAACCAAAGAACTTCATACATATAGGCATCGGCCATGGACAGACAACAGGGAGGTGAAGGCCTGGGGTGGGGCGGGAGCTGGGTGGAGGGGGCCGTGGGGGACAAAGGGAGAAGGATCTGTAATACTCTCAAAAATAAAGAAAAAACCCAAACAACAAAGTCAATTAAAAAAGAACAAAATATTCAGACATTTCAAGAAAGAAGGTATCTAAATGGTCAATAAGCATATACAACGTCCAATATTATTATTCAGCAGGCAAAAACAAGTAAGCGAATACTCAGATATCGCCCGGTGGGTGTGGCTCTGTGGTTGAGCGTCGACCCTGCACTAAGAGGTCGCCGGTTCGATTCCCGGTCAGGGCACATGCCCAGGTTGTGGGCCCGATCCCCAGTGGGGGGCGTGCAGGAGGCCGCCAGTTGATGTTCTCTCTCGTCGATGCTTCTCTCTCTCTCTCTCTCAAATCAATAAAGAAAAAAACATTTAAAAAAAGAGTACTCAGATATTACTGTATGCTGCCAATAACGTTAAAAACCAAATAGTCTGAAAATACCAAACGTCACCCCTGGAACGCTTTCGCGTTGCTGGTAGGGTTGTAAATGTACCAACCACTTGGGAAAACTGCTGCAGCTGTTGTCAAAACCTGGAGGGAAGGTGTGCTCTAGGCAGTCACTGTGACGGAGGAGCAGCAGGGCGGACGTCTGGGCACCGGGACCGCTTGGCGGGGGAAGCCTGAGCCCCGGGTTGCGCTGAGGACAGTCTGACATGGGCGTCCAGGCAATTTCATCCCAGGGCGACTCACACCACCCGGGCGGTGCAGCGTGGCTCCCGGGCTACGGTCCTGTGCAGCATGTTGCCACACTGCGTGCTGGGGCCACTGTGACACATTGTATCTGCACATATGTAAATGTGGAAGGGAGTGAAAACATGGCATACATGGTAAACATGTGTCCTGTGTGCAGTGGGCGCCCGTGAACGGAGCCTGCAGGGCTGGGCTGCTCTGGGTGGGTCAGGGCGGGAGCCTAGGACACGGCCGGACAGAGCTGTGGCCTCAGAACCACTGTGCACTCGGCCACACTGTCTATGAAACACATTTTCTTTCTTCATTAATAAATGAACCTCAGCTTACTGTAACACTTTTTGCTTCAGAAACTTGAAACACTTTTTTTTCATGGTTTCTATTTTTTATTTTTTATTAATTTATTTTTGTTACAGATGTTTCTCCTTTTTCCCCTTTGACACCCTCCTTCTGATGCCCCCCCACCCTGTCCCCAGCATTGTTGTCTGTGTCCATTGGTTTTGCACACATGTGTAGGAGTTCTGTGGTTTATCTCTTCCCTCCCCATCCCCCTCTCCTGAGGATTACCAGTCTATACCCTGCTTCTATGACTCTGGGTCTATTTTGTTCATCAGCTTGTTTTGTTCATTATATTTCACAAATAAGTGAGATCATGCGATATTTGTCTTTCGCTGATTGGCTTGTTTTGCTTAGCACAATACTCTCCAGGTCCCTCCATGTCATCTCAAAGGATAAGAGATCTTTCTTTTTTACAGCTGCATAGTATTCCATTGTGTAAATGTACCAGAGCTTTTTTTATTCACTCATCTATTGATGGACACTTGGGCTGTTTCCAGATCTTGGCTATTTTAAATAGCACTGCTATGAACATAGGGGTGCATATATTCTTTCTGATTGGTGTTTGAGGCTTCTTAGGGTATATTCCTAGAAGTGGGATCACTTTAAACATTTTTAAAACTTTTTGACTCCTGTAGTAACACTCAGCTTAAAACACACATTGTAGGCAGTAAAAAATATTTTATTTCTTGCTCTGGCCAGTTTTGCTCAGCGGTTAGAGCACCGGCCTGCGGTCCAGAGAGACCCGGGTTCGGTTCCCACTAAGGGCACGTACCTTGGTTGCAGTTTGTCCCGGCCCTGGTTGGTCATGCGGGTGGCAGCCACTTGATGTGTCCCTTTCATGTCGATGTTTCTCCCTCCCTCCCTCCCTTCCACTCTATCTAAAAATCAATGGAAAACATCCTCAGGTGAGGATTGACAAAAATCAATAAATGAAAACCAAACACCACCACACACACCAGCCTGGGCCCCACAGGGTTGGGATCATCGGAATCACTCTCCCTCCTCCCCACCGGTCCCACTGGAGGTACTTCAGGGACAGCGACACAGGGAGCTGCCGTGTCCCACGGTGACAGCGCCTCCTCCTGGAACGTCTCCTGCAGGACCTGCCTGAGGTTCTTGAGGGGTGTCACTCTATTCAGAAACACGTCCCTGGTGGTTGGATTGATTGACTGATCGATTGTCCATCAGGTTGGCTTGTGAGCAGGTGGCACACCGTGAGCCCTCCTCTGTGTTAATGAACATCTTTCGGTGCTGGCTCCATGCTTTCAGACTCTCTAAGGAGCCTGCTGGGTTCTGCAGAAGCTTCTGCTCAGCCCGTCACTGTGAGTTTTCTTGGGGGTCCTCTGCAGCTCCCTTTTCTCCTGCCTCTTCAGCTCCGGCTCTCATTCCAGTTCCAACACCTCGGTGGTCGGCCCCTCGGGGACCATGTCCAGGAGCCTCACTGTCCTCCTCACCCAGTGATTCACGCTGTTGGCCGTCGCAGCCACGGCCTTGGTGATTTTCGTAAGCTCCTCATCCTTGGCAAATTCTTGGACGTCATGGAGAAAATTCTTGCCTGTGTTCCTCCTGAGGCCGTTCACCAGCGCTTGGTGACATCACCCCAAGCCGGGGAGGCTCCTGATGCAATCGCTGTGACCTCCCGGACTGGCGTCACTGTCTTCTCGCGCCTCGCTTCATTGCGCGAGAGCCTGGCACGGTCCTCGGGCAATTGGCTTCAGACGCTGCCCTAGCTCCTGGCTGCAGTGGTCACAGAGGTGGAGTCTGCAGGGAGGAACCTCGCTCTGCTGTTAGGTGAAGATCTCCAGGAAAGGAGGGGGCCTGGGAGCGTTGTCCACAATAACCAGCATCTTTTGTTATCCTCACCCGAGGACATTTTTGCATTTATCTTCAGATAGAGCAGGAAGGAGAGAGGGAGGAAGAGAGAGAGAGAGAAACATCAAAGTAAGAGAGACACATGGACTGGCCGCCACCCACACGACCCCACTGGGGCCCACAGGGGCCAGGGACTAACTGCAACCACAGTACTGCCCTTAGCAGGAACCGAACCCCAGACTCTCCAGTCCGCAGGCTGATGCTCTAACCACTGAATCAAAGCGGCCGGGGCAATAAGCAACATCCTGAGAGGTGTGCTATTCTGGGAAAATACTTCGTCGTGGGTTGGGGAGGGCGCCGTGGAGGAGGAGCTGGTCGCGCACGACTTCTCCCCGCCCCCGGAGGACACGGGCGTGTGCAGCGATGATGGACGGCCTGGTTCTCAGGCCCCTCACACGGGTGCCAAGCTGGGCTGCTACCTTGCCCCGGGCAAGACTGCTCTCCTGTCCGCGGCCTTGCAACCGGCCCTGGCTGAAGGGCCCTGCAGGGACGTCTTTCCAGCGTGGGGAGGTTCGTCCCTCGTGGGCATTTGCCCTGGACGTGCCGTGCGCCTCCAGACGGCTCGCCCGGGTTTCGGCGGCCCCAGGTCGGCGCCGCAGGCCACGCGCCTTCGCGGGGTGGAGAACAAGACGCTGTCACGGTGGAAGACCCAGCGCCAGCAGGGGAGCCCGCGTGGGAGCGGCTCAGGCCCCCCCCAACCCCACCAACAGACCGTCTGCTCGGCCGCGGTCGCCGTGCGCCCAGCGGGACCCCGGTTGGCGCCGGTCTCCGGCCCCGGGCCCCAGAAGGCCTGACGCAGCCCCTCATCACATTTTGGTTGGACGTGTTGCTTCAAAGGGGCAGACCCGCCAGGGTTCCCAGGGCGCCCCCGGATCACAGCCCTGGGGAAGGGGACTCGCCTGGCTGCCCAGCGATGACCGTGCGCGATGCTCGGCCTTCGTGTCCTTGACCCCGTCGCGTCTCCAGGTCGGTCTCTCTGGCAGCGTTCGCGGTGGATCCGCAAGTCACAGGCGCGAAGGAAAAACCACCTGCAGTGAGGTTCTGACCTGAGCCCCCCTGGGAGGGTTGCTACGGGAACCACGGAAGCGCAGGAGTGGGTGGAGCCAAGCGCAGGTGGGGGCGGGGCGTCTGGGCCTGGGCCTGGGCCGGATTCTGCGTGACCACGTGTTCGCGGTCCTGGAACCGCACGAGTGGACGAGGGCGGCGCAAGGACTGAGCGCCGGTGTCCGCGGTGACGCCGTGAACGACAAGTGTCGTAGTGGTTCATTCCTTATAACTGAGACCATAGCCACGTACACGCTCAACGACGGACAGAGGGTCGTGCGTGGGGGCCACGCTCTGCCTCTGCTGACTTCTCTGCGGGGTTTCACCGAAAATGAAATCTGTGTTTGCGAAGGAGGGTGCGTCCCACGTCGGATGCATGAGTGAAGAAACGGGGAGAGTGGGTACCGAGGGGGGGCTGCCACGCCTGTGCGGAGGGCCTCACGCCAGAGAACCGGCCCGAGTGGGGGAGACAACTTCGAATCGCCCTTAAGCTTCTGAAGGCCGGTCTCTGAGTAGTTTCACGGGCTCTTAGTTTCGAACAGTTGTGTCCCCCAATGGTCGAAGCCCACGGAACAAGCAGAGACGAAAGAGTAAACGGTGGATTAACTTGATAATCACATACCAATATGGGCCATCAATAGCAACACCAAACACGGTTTCTATTTGGCAAAGTAGAATGAGATGTAAAAAGCACGCCCGTTCGGGGGTCAGTGTCCCTCAAACGAAAGAAAATAATAGATCTTTTTTCTGTCCTCGGTTCCTCTCTGCTGCTCACAGGAGTCCAGCCGGTTCTCGCGGGCTCTCGATGTCTGTGTCCTTGACTCAGACAGAGAGCAACTCACTTTTAAACCGAGGGAACAGGTGCTCTAAAGGGGCATGATAAATTGCAGAGCTTTGATTTAACTTGTAAGTGAAATATAGCATTCAAAGGAAACCAGGGTTAAAAGCATTCAATTAAAAAAAAAAACACAACCAAGTATGACTGGGATGCGGGGCTATGAAGCCTTTATTTGGGGTCTGGTATGCCCAGACTTTAAGACATAACACCCCTCTCACCCCCTCTCCTCCCGTGCGGAAGTCACTCCTTCCCAAGGCTTCCTTGAGGTACAGATGACAATTAACGTGTGTCTGACGTGTGCAACATGATGATGTGATAAAGTGACATGATGACCCATGAGGGCCACTCTGACAGCAAAACAAAGGGATTCCAAACATTTGAATGAGTGTGAGGGCCCCTCCCTGAGTCAGGGAACAAAGAATGAATGAATTACGTAAGTGTAATAATAATAAAAATCACACAAAATGGGGACACACGTGACTGACCACATGCTGAGCTCAGGGTATATAAGCCTCCCCCTACACTCGCTGACATTCACTCTCAGGATCTCATCTTGAACAGCACACATCTCCCCCCTGACACCATGAGCTACTACGGCGGCTACTACGGAGGCCTGGGCTATGGCTGGGGCGGCTGCGGGGGCCTGGGCTGGGGCTCCGGCTGGGGCGGCTGCAGATACGGCTGCTGGCAGCCTTGTTGCTACGGCCGGTACTGGTCCTCCGGCTTCTACTGAAATCCTGCCCAGCAACTCAGCATCTGAACCTCTGAGGGCCTTCCAGAGTTGACCCCAATCATTGGACAACCATCGTCAGGCTGGGGTTATTTGCACTAACACATTCATCTTCTCAGACGTACAATAGTTTTTCAACTATGCCTGTATCTCCATCATAATCCCAGAATCCTCTGTTTCTGATTTATAACTGATTGGACTGTCTGTTCACCTTCCAATAAAACATTGAATTGCAAACAGAGTATGGTTTTTGTTTTGTTCATGAAACTCAATCATGTGGAAATGATTTTGGGTAAATTCTACTCCACTGTCAAATAATAATTATTTTTTCACATACCTCACAAGCATGCATAGAGATAGAAACATAGATACAAAGATGATATATTCTACTCTGAAATGAAAAAAATATTTTAAAGATGTCAGTGACTTTATATTTAGCAACATCTTTTATCTGACTTTACTTAGATAGTATTCAGATTTCTGTCAGCAAGAAAAAGTGATGATGATGTAACATCTCTATATTTTCTTACCATATATGTGTTTTCTTTGACTCAACTACTGTTTCTCAGCTCAGTCCTAGTGCACAGCAGCCCCTTCCGTTTATTCACGTGTCATAGAGCAAAGCCCATCACGGACTATGACGCACGTAAACCCCGTCCAAGCATTTCCCTTCCGCTCAGGCTCACCCAGCGCCCAGCCTCTTCTGTGCATCATCTCACCTGACGTTACCCCCGAGCAGGTGGTCTGGAAGCCAATACGGAGCTGGGGTGAATGTCTTTCCTATGAGGTAATTTTTTAAAAAATTCTCACCCGAGGATATTTTTACCTTTATCATCAGGTAGAGTGGGAGGGAGGGAGAGAGAGAAACATCAATGTGAGAGAGACACATTGGCTCCTGCATGACCTGACCAGGGTCGGGGATAAACCTCACCCGAGGTACTTGCCCTTGACCTGAATCATACACGCGACGCATTGGTCCATGGGACAACATTCTGCTGAGTCAAACCGGCCAGAGCTTTCCTAGGAGGTCATTTAACTCAAAACATTTGAGCTCAAATTTTCTGTTGGCTTTTTTTATGTTCTTACTGTATTTTATAGGCATTCCTCACGACCGTCATCACACTGAAAAAATTTTTTCAGGCCAATAAGCTGAGGTTGATGATGAGCTCAGCCAAATCTCAAAAGGTCTCATACATTTGATTTTCACTGAAATCTGAATTTCTATTAATAAAAATGGGCATCATGGAACACTTATTTTTGATGAAATAAATGTTAATGGAGGCGTATACCAAAGTTTTTCTGGAATCACATATTCAGGTAATAATATAAAATGAAGATATTTGATCGAAATTGATCAAATAAGTTTCTTTAGGCTTATGCGCCATCTTAGGTATTTCTGACAATTTGGGGAAGGCAGCACTTACTGTCAGTCATTCGACAAATATGTTTTGTTTGAAAGCATGTGAATAAATTCCGATGGGCACTGTATTATCAAAAATAAACTTCAAAACAAAACAAAAACCAGCACCACCACCAGAACAAAACCCTCAGATGCATGTTAAAATCATGTCAAGTAAACATAATAGTAGAGACCCAAGCCCAAGAGAAGGGCACATTCCATTGGGACTTACATTTGGACCTGGGCCTAAACTTGGGTTTCCTCTACTATCATCACAGAGTGAGCTGCAGAGGTTCTCAAAGGCTGCCCACCACCCTCACGTCCTGTCTGTGGTTTCAGTCATTCCTTCAGTAAAGACATATTCATTATTGATTTTCCAGGGATCAAGATTGTAAAAGGCTTTGTTAAAAATAATGGCTGCCATCAATAAATCATCAAACAACAAGTGCTGGCAAGGGTGTAGAGAAAAGGGGACTCTGTACACTGCTGGTGGGAATGCAGACTGGTGCAGCCACTGTGGAAAACAATATGGTGTTACCTCAAAAAATTAAAAATTGAACTTCCATTTGACCCAGTGATCCCACTTCTAGGAATATACCCTAAGAAGCCTGAAACACCAATCAGAAAGAATATATGTACCCCCATGTTTGTAGCAGCACTATTTACAATAGCTAAGATCTGGAAACAGCTCAAAAATCCATCCGTAGATGAATGGATAAAAAAGCTGTGGTACATATACACAATGGAGTACTATGCAGCTGTAAGATAGAAAGATCTCTTATCCTTTGTGACGACATGGAGGGACCTGCAAAGTATTATCCTAAGTGAAACAAGCCAAACAGAGAAAGACAAGTATCATATGATCTCACTTATTTGTGGAATATAATGAACATAACAATCTGAGGAATGGGGTAGTCCCAGAGACGTGGAAGTGGGGTACAGACTGACAATCTCCAGAAGAGGAGGTGGTGGGGGAGAGATAAACCACAGAACTTATATGCATGTATGCATGAACAATGGACATGGACAACAAAGCTGGGGACAGCGCGGGGAGGAAGGGGGAGGGGGAATCAGTGGGGGAAAAGGAGAAACATCTGTAACAAAAATATTAAAAAAAGAAATAGCCAAACATATTGTGGTTAAACAGCAAATATAGTATAAGAGTATAGAAATATTTTTAATTTAAACCTTCATCAATGAGAATATCTTATCAAAATGATTCAGGGTGGTGACTATATTACTGAATATAGTCAGGAATATTGTGATGTTTGCACAGTGACAGATGGTTATGGATTCTTACAGGAGTGATAACAATGTCAGGTACAAAAATGTCGAATCATTGTATCAAACACCTGAAATGAATATACCTGTATTATTGTACACCAACTCTTCTTAAATACAAAATTTAAAAAATAGAAAAAAATGTTCGCTGATTACTCAAAAGAAAATAAGGGGCAGGACACAGAGACTTGCTATACACACAGGAGTATGATGCTAAAGGACATCAGGCTAAAATTGAAAATATGAGAAGCGGGATAAGATAATTAAAAGTAACGCATAAGAGTGAAAGCCCAGCGGGTGCAGGTACGTACTGGGTACCAGTGCAGGACGGAGACGTGAGGAGGGTTTGATGAGACGGGTGATGTGTGGATTTTGGAGAGGAGAAGAGAAGGAAGAGAAACAGTAACTGGAAAGAAGGGAGCTCCGGTCATCTAAGTGTTTAGATAATACTTTTCTGCTCTGGAAAGGAGGATAATGTTTGAAGAGAATTTTTTGAACAGGTGTTCAGACAGATAATGTGTGAGTTTGCTCTTGTGGGTAGATCCGTAGCTTCTGAAATACATTTTTCTATGTTGAAAACCAAAAGGATAGTTTGCAAGAGGAAATATAAAATCAAATTAGGTTTCATGTGTGTGTCTGCATATTTTATACTTGAAAAATTAATTTGACAACGAGTTTGACAGACCTCAGAATTTTAAACTTACTGGTGTATTTTTTTTTTTTTTTAATTCTCACCCGAGGACATGCTTTTTATTGACTTTTTTTTGTTTATCCTCACCCGAGGACATTTTTCCATTTTTTGTTCAGATAGGGTGGGAGGAAAAGAGAGAGAGAGAAAGAGAAACATTGACGTGAAAGGGACACATCGAGTGGCTGCCACCCGCACGATCAACCAGGGCCCGGGACAAACTGCAACCGAGGTACATGCCCTTAGCGGGAACTGAACCCAGGTCTCTCTGGACCGCTGAGCCAAACCGGCCAGGGCTTACTGGTGTATTTGAATCTACATGGAAGTAAGATACAAGAATCTAAAGAATGATATACAAATTAGAAATGACAAAATATTTAATGAGAAAACATCATCTAGTTTTAATGATGCACTGTGCTTACTAATGAAGAATTCTACTTAGGGAATACTTATTTTGTGACTTTAAAGAAAGTTATTTTTTCCATTAAAACAAGAAATGCACTAGGTCCAGGGTGCTCTAACCAGGCAGCTGAGCAAGCTCAACACTGGATGAGTGTGAGCCTCTCCTCCTATCAGCAAACCAATGAAAACGTTGCTTCAAGTAAACAAAGGTTTGGAATGATACAAAAGGATGGCCATGTGACTGACCACATGCTGAGCTCAGGGTATATAAGCCTCCCCCTACACTCGCTGACATTCACTCTCAGGATCTCATCTTGAACAGCACACAACTACACCCCTGACACCATGAGCTACTACGGCGGCTACTACGGAGGCCTGGGCTGTGGCTGGGGCGGCTGCGGGGGCCTGGGCTGGGGCTCCGGCTGGGGCGGCTGCAGATACGGCTGCTGGCGGCCTTGTTGCTACGGCCGGTACTGGTCCTCCGGCTTCTACTGAAATCCTGCCCAGCAACTCAGCATCTGAACTGCTAAGGGCCTTCCAGATTTTATCTCAATCACTGGACAACCATCATCATACTGGGGTTATTTGCACTAAAGCATTCATCTTTCAGAATTATAATAGTTTTTCAACTATGCCTATATCGTCATCATAACCCTAGAATTTTCTGCTCTTATAACTGATTGGACTGTCTGTTCACCTTCCAATAAAACATTGAATTGCAAACAAAGTATGGTTTTTGTTCATGAAACTCAATTATGTGGAAATGATTTGAGGTACATTTCACTTTATAAAATCAGTTTTTTCACATACCTGACAAGCATGTGTAGAGATAGAAACATAGATATAAAGATTAAATATTCTTCTCTGAAATAAAAAAATACTGTCTTAAAATGTTGATTTTAGCCCTGGCCAGTTTGGCTCAGCGGTTAAAGCATTGGCCTGCGGTCCGGAGAGACCCGGGTTCGGTTCCCGCTAAGAGCACGTACTTCGGTTGCAGTTTGTCCCCGGCCCTGGTTGGTCGTGCGGGTGGCAGCCACTCGATGTGTCCCTTCACGTTGATGTTTCTCTCTCTCTCCCTTCCTCTCTCTCCCTCCCACTCTATCTGTACAAAAAATGGAAAAATATCCTCGGGTGAGGATAAATAAATAAATAAATGTTGATTTTATATTTGTCAACATTGTGCCTTTCTTTAGACCATATTCAGATTTACACCAACAAGAAAAAGTGATGACA